CATTTGTTTGTTTGACTTCTTGAGTGCTGGTCATGTTTATTGTTCTTGCTCCATTTATATCAAAAATAAAAACATACATAAAAATTAATTTTCTTCCATTTGTATTGAATACATTAAAAAGATAATATTGTTCCATCTGTACTTTTTTAACGATGGCAGATATGAAAAACATTTATGATTTATTTTTTATTTAAGATAGAAATGGCTTATGCAAATGTATATTTAGCAAATAAATTAAATTAGTAGAATTCGAAGTATTTTCTAAATTATAAAATGAGATGGTAAGATTAGAATAATATGCTTGATCCTATTTTAAATTAATATTTTTCTATGATTGTTGTGTGCTAGAAAATTTTAGCCAGTAGAGTATATGTTTTATATCTCGGCGTTGTACAAAGACTCAGCAAGTACTGATGAAAGTAATAAGACAATAATTTTTTTTTATGTTAAAAACCTAGAAAGGGAAAAAATAACAGGGTCAGATCTAGCTGTTAAATTCACTAGATAGTGCGTAATGGAAATATCATTCTTTATTCACTGTTGAGGAAGAGGGAGAGTAAAGATATCAAGTATGAGGGTTAACCTAACAATATGACTACATATTCTCAATATGGATTATAGAAAGTAAATATCCATATATAGACTTTAATACCCGACAGAATGGTTAAATCTTTTCAATACTCTGGAAATGTTAGATATTTCTGATGTTGATCCTCAATAGCAATGATGATTGTTGTCGGCTGCAATAGTTGGTAGTGGTCAACGACAAATGACTGGAAATTGCAATAAAAAATAAGTCTTTGACTATAAAGTTGCTAAGAACGAAATGTGCATGGTACCAAATTTAATTTTGAAAAATTCTAATTGAAATATACCTTGAGATTACTGCATGATCGATGTGTTTTTTGGTGACATATGAACGATAAAATTTTGTCTAAAAAAAAGAAGCAAGGATGAGAGAATTTGTATAGATTTGAAGCATTGTTATCTAACATGTTAATTGTAATATTTATTTTTTTAAGGCATGTTGTCATGGTCTAATGGACCCTAGTATTTTGTTTAAGAAAAATGGAGATTTTTTTATTATTAATTTTTAATAACTAAGAAAAAATAAGGGTAGCACGATCAAATAGTGTGACTGCATGTTGTATTAAGAAACAGAACAATGCTTGAAAATTATTTATGGGTGGAGATTTTAATGATTTTTATTATATTGAAGTTCATGGGTCATTATCATTGTATGCTTGTGTATGTATTTGTAGGTATTTAGTAGGTAACCTGCCGACGTCGAAGGAACTCGCTCTTTCGTGGTGGGTGGGGATGAGCTCGTTTGAACCATATGGGTGATTCTACACACATGAGGCTCATAGGAGGGCTCGACCAAAGAATCAACCTTGGCTACTTGCTTGGTTTACTAAGGAGCTTGCCCAACGCATGGCGGATGCCGCATCAGACACTCACTCTCTCCAAAGCAACTGTTCTTTCATCCAAACTTAGCTATATGAAAGCACCTTCGACTCACTCTACCATAATTGGTCGACCACTGAGGTAGACTTCGCCACCATCAAAGGTCACTCGACTTTTCACATAGGAGATTCGAGGCTCATAGAAGTCGCTAGCAACTTCCATAACAACTAAGCACCTCCTCCTCAAAACTCTCTTGCAAACTTGGCTAAGAGTGTAAACGAGTCACGTCGAGTATTTGTCTAATCGAGCTAAGCTTTTTTAGTTCTTACTTAGCTAGAGTTCAACTCTAGCTAGTTTACAAAGCTCAAGCTCGACTTATTAAAAAATTTATAATCTCGAGCTTGACTTGATTTTTTAGCTCAAATTTTAATTTAAAATTAATTTTTTTTTTAGAATTTTTTTTTTTAAATAAATTTGATTTAAAATAATAAATTAGATCATATATTATTAATTTAAATTAATTATGAAATTTATTTTAATTTAAATGAGCTGCTCAATGAGCTTTCAAGCTAAGCCCGACTAAGCTTGAGCTCATTAAAAATATGGGTTTCACTCTCGAGTATAGGCTTGAGCTCAAATTCGTGGCTCAATAAGCATGACTTGCAAGCTCGTTAAAGAGCTGAGCTCGAGCTAGCTTGCAAGCTAGCTCAGCTCACTCACATCCCTAGGCTCGCCTACTCTTACTCATCACTACCAAGCTCGCCCACTATATACTCAACACTATCGTACTCGCCCAAAAATAGATGAAAGAATATCTGCATCCTCTGTTCTCCCTAAACCAATTAATGATTGACACATGTGTAGGGTAGTATGTAGCATTGTTTGGGTGACATGTGAAGTATTGTATTTTTTTACTTGTTTTATAGATTTCCTTTCTTATTGCTCATAGCTTTATAAATAAGGAGTAACGAAGAGCAATTTGGAGGACTTTGATTGATATCCCAAACTTAGCTTAATTCACAGGGCTTCTCAAAAAATAACAAGCCTAAATTATATATATATTCAATAGCAAAAATAGAAAATAAGCATCAATTAGTATTAATATTAGTATATCATGATAGGGGTGTCAATTCGGGTCAACGGGTCGGGTTCGGGTCGAACCCGAAATTGACCCGGCACTGTTCGGGTCAACCCGAACCCGACCCGTTTTTAAAAATGGGTCAGGTTTTCGAACCCGAAGTTGACCTAAAATTACTAGTTTTAGGGTCAAAATCGGGTCAATCTTCGATTTTTGGGTCAAAATCGGGTCAAAACGGGTCAATCTCGGATTTTTGAGTCAAATAGGAGTTTTCGTGTCAATTTCGGGTTATTTTCGGGTTGCTGGGTCAACCAAACCAGACCCGATTTTTAAAACGGGTTGATTTGTTGAACCTGAACCCGACCTGTTTCAGGTTTGGGTTGACTCAAACTCGGATTTTTTCGGGTCGAGTTCGGGTCGTGTCAAAAATTGACACCCCTATATCATGACATCCGTACACTCTTTACTTATAATCTAATATTAGTATATTGCATTAATATTAAAAATATTTCAAAATAGTTATGGGGGATTTGTGCCCAATTGCTATCAATTTTATACATTAAGTTTTGATTGTAATATTATGACATATTTTTCCTTTTAAAAGTATTTTAATACCCAGCTAGCAAAATAAAAATTGGGCCGCGTGTGCAAACATTATGTTGAATGGTAAGGTTTGACGGCTAAGAGCCATCTTTTTTTTTTTTTTTTTTTTTTTGGAATTTTAAGAAAAACCACACACACCACACAAAGGTAAAAAAGAGGTAAAAAACCTCTAGTTACAAAGTAGCTCCAAAGCCTCTTAGTTGGAAGCCTAAGCTCTCAACCAATAGGCCAAGGAGAGTTGTGTGAGCCATCTATTTTGCGGGCCCACAAAAATGGGCCTAAACTATCATAAATACCTTCTTTTGTTGGTTCTGGGCTTCTAATAAATACCAGAAAAGGACCACCTAGCAACCATCCCCATTATACCCAACAAGAACAGCCAACTATTAACTAAGGTGAGAATAAAGGAATAAAAACAATTAAGCCATTGTTTGGATTTTGGTTCGAAGTAAAGAGGATGGAGTGAAAATTTTTAGGGTTTATTTTGTACCCTCTGTTCTTTATTGTTTTTAAAAAAATTTGTACTAGAATATAGTTATGACAAATCAAATTTTAGATTTCATTTGAAATAATTATTTACTATTTTTTAAATCAGCTTTCTAATACAAAAATTCTAAAAAAAAAATTACAGTAAAATTATTTTTAAAAAGCTGTAAGAAAATTATCACAAAGAAGTCATTAATATTTTGTTAGTTCTTTGTATTTAGCAAATTCAGAGAGAGAGAGATTTTATAAGTGAGATTTCAATCGAGTTCAAAAAATAATCTCCATCGAATTCAAAAAAATAATCTCCTAAAATAATTGGAATTTATCATTCACTTGAGAAAAAAACATATTTTATGACTGGTATGGCAGCAAGAATTTGATGACTGGGACCCATGCTTTAATTAGCAAGTGGGCCCAAACAAGCACAAAGGCTAACAGTTTGACGTATACAGCCCGCTCCCATTTTGATATGTTGGTTGGGAGCTTAGGCTATCAAATAAAAGGTATTAGATTCAAGTTTGATATATATAATGTGTGTTTGAGTCTATCTTAATTGACCTTAATGTTAAAAAAAAATTATTAAAAAAAAAAAAAAAAACAGTTTGACATCTTTATCTGCTTCAGGGATTGCATTAAATTCGAGAAAAAGACCACCATAATAAGTAAGGCATTCAGTAGCAAAACAATTAAGACAGTCTTTTGATTTTGGATCGAAGGGAAGTAAAGACAATGCAAGTGAAATATCTCATTAATATATTGCTAGCATTTACGATTGAAGTAAAGGGAATCAACCTTAAATTTTGTTTGAGACATTTTTTTTTCAATTTTGTGAAGTAATTTCATAAAATTGTAGTAAAAAATAATTTTTTTAAATTGCTGTAAAAATTATTCTCAGTATATAACTTTTTTGAAAAAAAAAATATAAAAGAACAAAAAAAAATTCAAATGAAATCTAAAAAATAAAATATAAAAGAATTATCCTAAATAAAACCTTATTCACATTGATATTTTATTAGTACTTTAAATTAAAGACTGTAAAGTAGCATCTTAATAGCTATAAAGGTTGGATGTTTGAATATATTAGGCCTCTAGAATAAATTAAATTTAAGAGTGAAAATTTTAGGTGTTCCGTTGTAAAAAATGCAACATAATTTATTGAGAAAAATTATACTTAAATCAGAGTACCATACATCCCCTTAAAGAGGAGAGATTATTAGGTGCGGAGTACGGACGGGGAGAACCGTCCGCACAAGCATTGGGTACCTATCGGTACCCGCACTCGGTACCGCTAGATATCCAGTACTTGTGCGGACAGTGCGCACTCCGCACTTAATAATTTTTCCTTAAAGAGGCAATCCAAAATTTTTCTAAATCGCCCACCTTCCAGTATATGTAAAAAGAAAATAACATATTTAACTTTCAAAAATAAACCTTCAAACTCTAAGCATGAGGTTGTAATTTTCAATACAGTGCAAGTAACAGAACAAGTTCTCTTTGATATTTTTACGAACACGACACAGCACAAACATTCCACTGAAGCTCCCTTAACTGTTTGACATGTAGAAGAAAACCAAACTTTAGTAGTAGTAATCAACATAGCTTTCACCTAAATAGACTAGTCTTAAATAAGAGAAATTATGAAAAATTTAAATACATATCACTTTATACTATCCTATTTATATATCTAATATCTAAAATTTTAATATTACATACATACTATCATATATTATTTTAATATCAAATACACCACTCTATTTCAATATGAAAATGAACTATAGGTGGTATGTATGTAATATTAAAATTTTAGAGGTTAAATATATAAATAGAGTAATATAAGATGATATGTATGTAAATTTAGTACCTCAATGCTACACTTTCTTCGGTATAGTAGCCAAGTCCATTGTAGATCCATACATCTTAACCAGAGCTTGCCCGCACCAGCCATGCCCGTCATCTACCGTTGGCATCCTCACCTCGACGAAAGGCGAAACAGCTTCTTGTGTCCCAAGCAAAAATGCGCCCGCATAAACTCTCAGAACATTCGAAGCATCGATATCCATGCAAACACAGATCTCCGCAGAGCCCTTGGGAGCAGAAGGGATCCCAGTGATCTTGAAGTAACCCAATATATTGTTCTCCCCAGCCTTCTTGCTCTCCCCTTCATATACAACAATAAGGGCCTCAGTCTGGTTGTCATGAGCAGTAGTGAAGAGCATTTCCTTCCTGGAAGGAACTGCTGTGTTCCTATGAATAATAGGTGCAAATCCATCTCCATCTACGCGAATACCAAGGCTCAGGGGAGTGGCTTGAATGGTTAGCAAGTCCAAGCTACCTGACGAGTTATTTATTCCAGAAGCAATGGCTCCCTCCAAAGCAGCGCCATGTACAGCAGCTTCTAGAGAGTCAATTCCCTTGTATGAATCTCCTTTCTTGCACAAACGAAGCACCAGGCTTCGGATCTTAGGAATGCTTGAACATCCACCAACTAATATTACATCATTTAAGTCTTCTGCAGTCACCTTGGCATCCAGTAAGCATTGAGATATCAGCTTCTCACATTCAATAAATACCTCATCATTCACTCCTTCGAATTCTGCGCGGGTCAATGATCTAGATATTTTTCTCCCGTCGCCCAAATCCACATTGATTTCGACGCTATTTTGCGAGGAAAGTTTATGGATTGCGTTTTGGGCTGCAATTCTAAGCAATGCCATTGACTTGATATTTTTCAAGCTGTGACTGGAGCAGATTCTCTCAAAATCTGGCAAAAGATATCGCAGGATATTTTGAAGCAGATCTTCTCCACCTAGAGGAATTCCCAGCAATGCCTTGATCTGGGAGACTCCACCTGCTGTTGCAGTTATAGCAATATCACAATACCCAGCGCCCATACTAAATATAAGTGCAACTTTTTCAATGCCACTTCCCATGTTTTCATGCATGGATTGCTGCTGCTGCTGTGCATATAGAAGGGCCACAGCAGTAGGCTCTGGCATCAGCCTGAAGACATTTATGCCTGCCATGGCACAGGCGCGCTCAATTCTAGCCAGTTGAAATCTGTTAAATGAGACTGGAACAGTAAGAACCGCATTTTGTATTGGCCTCTTTAGCTGCAGTTCTGCCATTGCTTTTAACTCGACTAGAAAGATTGCAAGCACTTCCTCGGGTGTGGTGGACCTCCAAACGTTATTTACCAGAGCAGCAATGAATGGCCTAACACCAATACCCAAAGTTTGTACCATAAAAGGAAGAGTTTTGCAAGCATGAACCACTGGATCGGTATCGATTCTTCCTATTAGCCGTTTCATGTTAAAAACTGCACTTCCAGATAAAATTTCTGGATCACCATGAGGAACTTCAGTGCTCACTCCTCCTGAAGGCAGCATTTCATTCTTGAATAAGACATATGAACGAATCAACTTTTGGTTTCTTGTGTTTCGAAGCAGTTCTACTCTTGAGCCATTCCAGATGGCAACACTGCATTTAGATGTCCCAATATCCATACCAATTGCAATTTCAGTAGGAATCAGTTTAGAAATGTCCTCGGCACTTTCACCATCAGATGCAACGGTGTAGGTTTGGTCAGCCATCCTGCTTCAGATAAAGATGCAAAGATGAGAACCTTCACATGAAAGTTAAAACATGTAGAAAGTAGATAGTTCTCTTGAGCTATTCTCCATTTAAAAGAATTGAATATAATATTCAATTGTAGGCGAGGCTCTATGCTTATTTGTAGGAAACAAATTTAAGTTTTACTAAAAAATAGATATCAATAAAAGTTGATGGCATCTTTCAACCATAAGAAACCCAAATCCCAAATACCTCAGAATTAAAGTACTTTTCTGCCACATTTGCTTTCACATATTTTTAGGAGTAAATATTAATGGAAAATTTTCTCAATCATCATTATGCATAGAATGAGGATATGCAAAACTATTCTTCCAACTGCTATAAAGATGGTCAAAAAGTACTTAACTAGGGGTTATTAAGCAAATGATACATACAATGTTAGACTAGTGGACATGCAAAAATGTCTTAGACAAATAATTTGACATGCATCAATTTGCATTTATCAGCTAGTTAGGAGTTTGTAACACTGGCCCAGGCACAAGCCGATTTTATGATATCATATCCAACACATAGCCTTCATCAACTTCTACTCTTTCATGTTAAAAATTAGAACAATATTAATTTTATAATTTTTTTAATTAGTGCCGAAATAGTTTAATAGAGTTTGGTTCATGTTTAGCTTCAGTAGAATATTTACCTTATGAGTCTACTCAATGCCCAAAACATCGCACTCAGCTTGTATGAAAGCATAAAAATCTCGAGGTAATGTTAAAAAAATAGAGAAAAAAGCAAGCACTGAGATGAAAGAGGTAAACTTCCTTGAAAATCCCCACTGACTCACTGAGCCTCTACCCTTACACTCCAATAGCTTTGATCATAACACATTGCATCCCATCAAAAGATGCACAGCAGCACAATTTAAAGCTCAAAAAATAATCTAAACGGGTATAAAATGAAGAGGAGAACATGCGTGCTTGTGTTTACCTATATGCATGTATGGATAGAGTGCAGCTATACAAACAATGCAGCTTTCCTAATCCACAAAAGATCAAACATAATCTATACAACTATTATAAAAACCACTTGAGTTTCCTTTCATATCAAATCATGACCTTTTATTTTATTTCTTCAAATATAATCCTCACCCTTGATTATATTTATTAAATATTATTATAATAAATTAATCAATTTAAATATAAATAATAAATACAAACCGGTTAATTATTCATTTATTCACGATTTTCTCATTTTGAATTTCCCAATTTCACGATTCGCGATTCACAATTTGCCTCACTTTAACTCAAATGTAGTAATTAATTTTCATTTAACCCAATTAATGGTCGGTTAACCTCCGTTACCTATTCGCGAGGGATTTCGCCTTCGGCTTGCCCTACCATTCTTCATCCTCTCCACATCTTCTCCGATAGGTTTGTTCTTCAATTATAAGCCTCTTCAACTCTACTATAACTGTTCTGCTTACCTTCATCTTAAATTTTAGATGGGCCTATGATTATACGGTAAGAATTTTTGTTTGCCACATGAGATTGAGGAAATTCAAGGATCGAGAGCTTTAATTCCTGAGTTATTTAGGTGTTTTCAACAAGCTAATAATAAGGAGGCAAAAAACAAAGAAGTTAAAGAATTAGAAGGGCAATATGGTAAAACAACCACCAAGAAGAGTTCCCCTGGACTTTTCAAAAACACAAGAAGTCACTTCAAGGGGAGTTTTGGGAGGTTGATCCCGTTGACACTTGACATTGGGTAAATAATTGGGGAAGAACACTTCCATAGGAAGGTTGTCAAAGTTTCGAGAAGGACGTCGATCAAGGGTCAAACAAAAAAAAATCTGGTGAAAAATGGGTGAATTCCTAGGACAAATACCTGTGAAGGACAACTTCTCAAAAAAGGGATATCGACATAGCAAAAGCAACGAGAAAGTTCTCTAGACAAGTCACTAATAGGTGCAAATTCTTGTGAAAATGGCATCAAGAAGGAAATATGTTCCGAGATAAGTTTTACCAAGGAACATTGTTTAAATTGCACAATATGAGCCTTGCATTGAGGTCCGTCTCTGCACAATTCCACTGAAGAATGCCTTGAACCTTTTTATGAGGCTTGTGCCTCAACTTGGCTGAGGCCCACCTTAAGAAGCACCTCGCCTTGCTGGTGTGAGGTGATACGCCTCACCCTATATATATATAGGTCAAGGTAGTCAAGAGAAAGTTTTTGTGGCTAGGGGGTGCATTAAGACATGATTTGTTTGGGGCTTTAGTTTAGGATTTAGGTATCTTACCTAAATCCTAAACTAAAGCCCCAAACAAATCATGTCTTAATGCACCCCCGAGCCACAACAACTTCCTTTTACCTAAATCCTAAACTAAAGCCCCAAACAAATCATGTCTTAATGCACCCCCGAGCCACAACAACTTCCTAATGACTACCTCGACCTCTAGCCTATCGCCTTTTTCTCAACCACCATTGTCATAGCCATTGTCGGTGATCACTTGAAAAGTACACACCACCACCTCCTCCTCTAAAAATTTTATAGTATTATTCTCATCATTATATTGATGCAAATATTTAAGAATGACGAAGACGAGTAAAATAAATGATGAAGAAGCAGATTGAGAGTCTTGGACTCCACAAGATGAACAGGTGAGAGACTAATTTGTTATGACAACGACTTCAATAAAAACCCCTTACTAATGACCGTGCAGATGATTTCTGAGTTGTTGACAACTATTTTAGCTTTCCATTAGAATTAATTATGGATGAGTACGGAAGTAAGAAAGAAGAAATTTGAAGTTAAACTTGATGTTATATGATACTTTTGTGCAATTCTTATATTTTATATTATTTTGTTCTTGGATTTCAATATTATTTCACACAATTTATCACTTGTCACTTTACATCATGTGCAATTTTTTTTCCATATATATGTCAATTTGTTACTTCATAGTTCAATAAAAAACTGATATGTCATTTTGATTATTATATTTCAAGTTATGTTAATTAAGCTAATTAAATTAATACCTAATTAAAAAATTAAGAATTAATATGATTCTTCCTTATATCATGTTGTCTTTCCCTCTTCTCTATTTCTTCCTTAATATTAGACTTCATTGGTTCGCATGAGGTAGAGCTTTGAACAAGTCACATTGCATTGCTTTCCTATAAGGGTGTCAAAATCGGGTACGGGTAGGGTTCTGATCTAACCTGACATTGACCAGCTATTGTTTGACCCGACCAGTTTTTGCAGATGATCAGAAAATGTAACCCGAACCCGACTCGTTGGGTTGCCGGGTTGACCTAACCCGACACGAGCAGAAAATGCAATCAATTCAACTACAAAACAGACAACGAGCTCCCTTCTATCGTCGTTGCTTCTGATCCAACTACAAAACAACGAGCTCCCTATGGAAGTGTCGTCGGCTCGTCAGCGTTGTTGCTTTAGATCCAAATGCAAATGAACGGCGAGCTGTCATGTTTTCCAACTCAACAGGAAGGAACGTCGTCGAAGGAGGCGAAGAACAACGGGACAAGAGGAAAAGCAAACCCTAGTCCTTGTCGTTGGCCTGGTCGCCATCATCGTTGCTTCTGATCCAACCCTTTCGGCTTCCATCGTTGAAGGAGGCGAAATGGTGAATCGGGTCTGTGCGGGGAAATTGGGTAAGATCTGGGTCAATTTTGGGTTAGATGATTGAACCCAACCCGATATTTCAAACGAGTCAATTTTGGAAACTCGATTCCAACCCATCTGCCAAACGGGTTGACCCTGACCCAGAATTTTCATGTCGGGTTTTTGGGTTGTGTCACATATTGACACCACTACTTTCCTCTTCTACATTTCCTCTTTGTTCTACTTTGTGTGAAGTAGCGTTCTAAAAGAATCTTTGAAGCATATTTGCCTCCAAAGACGATGTTGTTCCTATCATATTGGAAGTCACGATGGGATTTCGCCATAAAAGTAATGATATTTCTCCATTTCGCACGCTTCTTTGGCTAAATTCATAAAAAACGCCAAAAATCTGATTTATGAAATCCAAGATTTAGGACGAAAATGTCGAAAACAGTGTGTACTGGATCATATAACTTATTGTGAAATTTAACTATGTATTTATTTCTCATTTGGCAAGATTTAGCTTAAATATTACCTAAATCCTACATCCAAATAGGCCCAAAGTTTTAAGCCAATTTGTAACTTTTGGCTATGAGCCAAAGTTGAGGATATTCTCCTAGTGCATTAAAGTAAGTCCGCCTACTAGTTTATGCTCATAAGTCATAAAGAAATCCTCTAAAAGGACAAAAATCCTAGTTAAACCAACCCTAATGCTAAGATGATAGTATTGAGATTGGGAGTCCATGGTCTTGTTATATGTGGAATCTAATTGTGTCTATCAATCTGATAGTTTTGGTGTCTCGATCAAAGCTTGTCGTGTTCGCTGGGGGAACGGTGTTTACTCCCTGCTTGGGTTCGGGTGTTTTGCATCCGAAATTTTTTCCCCGTTACAACGCCTCTGCGCTGTGTACCCGAGTGTCTCGGCACTACGTATCCAAGCGCCCCAACCCTAAAAAGTAGAGAGCATAGCACCACAATGATATAGATACGACACTATAGCGGTGCAAAACAAAGGCTTGAATGTCGCAACGCCCCAAACTGGCGCCGCAATGCTGCGAGACAGGACAATACAATTTTCTTTCTTGTTTTTTTGAAGGGTTGCGTCTCTTGGGGTAGACATTGAAAACGTTGCATGTGAAAGAGAAGTGAGGAGAGAGTGAGAGAGAAGAGAGATATATGATTTGGCTCCATGGTTTTTTTCCTATTTTGAATTTTTCCACGTTAAATCCTGATATCCTTTACTTTTCCGCTGCTTTTACTTGCTTGCTTGTTTCACCATTGTGGTGTTTACTCTTCATCTTCCCCAACAGATCTAGGGATCCAAAAGGAAGTATTTAGACTAAGATACCTCAAAAGCCAAAATAGACGTCGTTTCCTGTACGAGTGAAGGTCAAATTACTAGTATTTCAATATCAACATATTAGACGACATACATTATACATTTTTATCACTCCGACAACCAATATAGCAGCACGTTCCAACAACGGTGGGCTGTAAGAAACAGTAATCGTTTTTTCCAATGGACATAGCTGCTCCGTTCACTAGCAAGCGTACACAAGCCAGATTAACTGGGAATGCGGAAAAGAAGAACAACAATCAATCAATTTACCTCTTACCTCGAAAATAAAACATACAAAGCAAATATTTACACAAATCACAATTAGTGCTTAAATCCTTTATGCTCCTGCTGAGGGAGCTACAAATGCATACAGCACAAAAACTCCCTCCGTAATCTTTAACCCAGCAATCGACAACCAACCACGAAAAAATAAATCAAAAGCCACACAAAGTCTTCACAAAGCCAATCACATAACAGAGTCCGAACTGTGAAAAACCAAAAGCTAAAAGGCATTTATAAATAAATATCTTACCCGAACAAAATGCTACAGAAGCAAACCACGGTACATGAACGATAGGAGAATCAACTCAATCAAGCAAGTAAAAAGAAGATAATCAAAGCTTACCTGAGAACTCGGTTTGCTCGATAAGCTATGTGCAAGTACTTCGGGGGGTTTCGATAGACAGAACAGTAATGCAATGGAAGACGAGAAAGCTGATGGGAAGAAAATACAAGATGCTGCAGAAGAAAGTGATCAAAAGTTCTGGAGAAACCGCGAGGGCCTTCTCGCACCTTCGCGTACAAGTGTACAACGCCGGGTGCGCTTCCAGAAGCGTCTGGTGCGAGCTGGGGGCTTGATCGAATAGAAAAAAAACGCCGTGTGATGGAAAAACACCAAACAGCTACAACATCCAATGGTCTAAAGTTTGTGATAAATAATAATATATTCTTATTCTTACTGCTCGTATAGTATTCCTTTTGTGGTGATAAATTTTTTATAATTTTATTTTTTAGACAGTTGCTATGTTATATAGAATATTATTGCTAAAGCAGAGTGTAATTTCTGTTAAAATTTTGCAATTATTTTTTTTTAATTTTTTTTTACTATTAGATTATTTTTCATAATAAATTTAACAAAACTAATTTCTTAATAATAATTTTATAATCAACTTTAAAAAAAATTATTATTGTTCGAAATAGATCTTCAAAGAAAATCAGGAGTCAAGCAATAAGGATACAATATATTATCGATTTTAATTATTAAGGAAATATCCTATGTATTTTCAGAATTAAAAAAGTTATTAATCTTACAAAATATTTTTAGCTAGCTAAATTTTATTTTCAAGACGACTTCATGAGTTTTTGATTTTTTTTATTTTCAATTTTTAATTATTCTTTAGTATTCTAAATTTGATTTAATTATTTTTTAGCATATTGGGAGCATCTTGACTCAATTTTATTATTATTATTATTTGTTAAGACAATGCTTATCACACTCTAAAAATAAATTGTAATAAAGTGATAATATTTTGGTTCATGACTCAAAGGGAAAAAAAATTATGTGGGGTATCCTAATGCATTTTATATTATGATGGATTTTGGAGCCCTTGAATTTGTAATGGATTAGAGCTATATATATATATATATGATATACGAGGGATGTTCTAATCTTATCCTAATGCAAAATACGCTAGAATACTTTTATATAGTTTTTACAACTCGAAAGGAATTCTACATCAACAAATAGGAAGTAATTAAGCTATGAAGTTTTCTTAATCACATTAAAAAAATTAGGAGCTTTATTGACTTTTTCGTATTTTACAGAGTTTTAGTTTCCCAAAATATGAGGCCAGTGATAATGGCATATAGTGTAATTATGATAAATTATTTTAAATTGCATTTATTATTATTGTATAAAATATCTCCTAATAATGATTGTAACCATGCATAAAATTCTCTCCAAGATATGACTAATTTATCTCTCTTATTCATCTTCTTCGATCTCCATCAAATATTTCCTTATATAGTATTAGAACTCATACTCTCCAACAAGCTAATCTTTCATGGCCAATGAAATTTCTAAGTACTCCATCTCACCAATTAATCACCACTAATTAGTGTTCATCATCTTGGCCGCCCAACTACCTCTCAAACTTACACAAATAATTATTTATCATTGCAAGCTCAAGTGCAACTCCTACTTCAACGATACAACCTCCTTGGTCATATTAATGGTGATCACATCCCTCAACCTACTCTTACCATCACTCAAGATGATCAGCATGAAAATTCACAACCCAAATCATATTATTTAGATCCAACAAGTTCAACTCCTATTTTATTGCAAGTTCACTTCCTCATCCAAACAAGTTATGGCTTACATAGCCTCCTCCTTATCATCTCCTGAGGCAAAGTGTTCGAATTTATTATTTGAGATGGTACATATGTTCAAATTACACACATCAATAAGATGTCTCTCTCTACTCCATTCTTCACCTTTATGCTTGATAATGTCCTATGTGCTCTTAATATGAAGCAAAATCTAATATATGTTTGTCAATTTTGCACCTTTAATCAAGCATTAATTGAATTTAACTTTACTTTGGTACCTCTAGCTCGAGGACAGAGACAAAATAATGTGTACAAGTAGTCCAACATCAAAGAGGCTCCACTAGATTCAAGCAAGCTCATGTTAGCCCAATACCCAACCTTGAATGATGGAATGATTGCCTGGGCCATCCTTCATAAAAAATCCTACGTCCCTACTTATAAGTTATAAGCAAATTACCATCTCACTCAAAATTATTTAATTTATCTTTTTACAGCTCATGTCAATATAATAAAAGGTATAAGATAACATTTCATGCCTTAAATTTATCAAGTTGTTATCCACTAGATATAATGTACTCTCATGTTTGAGTTCCATCCTCCATCCATTCTAATTAAAAGCTTCGTATCATAACTTCATATCTCAAACCAACCTTCTGCATCCATTTTCCTTTGTTTAACTACATTAAAAGGTTGGAGTAGCCCCAATAGAAGATAATATTAGAGAGAGTCGCATTAGATAGTTTGGTCACATAAAACGGCGGCCTTCCGATGACCCGATTAGGAGAGTAGAGGTATTATATTTGACTTATGTTAAGAAAGGCAGAGGCAGACCTAAAAAGACTTGGTTAGAAAATATTAGAAATGACCTTTTTTATTAGATTTAAACTAGAATTTGACTTTTAATAGAACACAAGGGAGAAAAAGGATTCATATGTAGCCGATCCCACGTAGTGGGATAAAGGCTTGATATTGTTGTTGTTGTTGTTGTAACTTTCATTAAACACATTCTATAAAGAGTTAAATCAAATCAGCACAAACTAATCCAAACTAAGCTAGATTTGTTTTTCCCTCCAGCATACCATTCAAAATGACCCTCACCATTGCACCATAGAATCTATATAAACTCCACACATAAAAAAATAATCATCCATATTTATTTTCAATCATCATACTCATCATAAAGCCTCCCACTATCATTGATTATAATCTTCTAATATTGATCAATTTATCAACTAGATGTCAATAATGCATTTCGTCATGAAAACTCATCCGAGGAAAAGCATTCATGGCTAAGCTACCTAAATTTTTAAATGAATCCAAACATCAACACGTATCCAAATTTGTTTGTTGTTTTTCATAAGGCCTTCGTCATAGGAAGAAATCCCATCTCTTGGTGCTCTAAAGACAAAGAATTGTTTCTCACTCCTCTACAAAGGTAGAAATCCATGTGGTTGCCTCCTATAATGGCCATCTCTTTAGGAAATATGAACACATATAAAGATTAGTTAATTAATATATATTTCCTGATTTATTTTGCATCCTGGAAAGAGGGATCAGATCTGTGGGAAGGAAAATATATAATTTATACAAGTTTTGAATGGTTCAACATGTGGACGTTCATTCATGAGCATGTGCTTGGTGGGACTAACAAGCTTGTTCTTGTAACCTGTCACTACAGTTTCCGCTTCTGCAAAACTAATAAATTGTTGCTGTGAAACATTTGGAGTTCTTATAGCGATAGATTTTATTGCAAGAGGCCTTTGTAAAAGTGGAATATAAAAAATTACATTTAAAAAAAAAACATTTTCAGATTTATTGTAATATAAATAGAATGCATAATTACTCCATTAATATTTTTATTATGCTCATTCCAAACTAAATTAAAAAAATAATAATAATTAGGATGCCTAGCACTATTTTTTTATTTATTTTTATTATACATATATAATGTTGCAAATATGAGAATGCTCAAATGAATGAGTGACTTTACATTTAGAAATAGATTGCGAAAGAAGTATGCATATGAAAATGTTGGAGTAACTGCAGTGGCAAATAAGATTAGATGATTTGATTACATAAAACGTCTATCTTTCGATAACCTGATTAGGATAGTAGATTTATAGATTCGATTTGTATTAATAAAGATAGAAATAGATTTTAAAAGACTTAGTTAGGAAGTATCTGAAATGATTTTTTTTTTTGTTAGATTTAAATGTGATAATAGAGCACAATAAAATAAAAAATTAGTGTAGCGGACCCACATTGTGGGATAAAAATTTAATGATGTTTTTCGAATCAAATTCAAAATAAAATTCAAACAAAAAAAAGTGGTGGATAAATATGGGTCAACCTAACTTTCCTAAATTTTAGTCTGATATTATAATTATCAGATCATATCTAAGTCACAGTCGATAATATCTAGTTATCTTTTGATTAAGACGGCCTTTCTTGAAGAAATTATTATGTTCGGAATCCGGATTGGAAGAACCCTCCGGATTGTTGCGTATTTGTTGAGTATTTATAAATATTCAATAAATACTAAGTAAATATACAATAAATCAGCAAATACTCACAAAATACTCAACCAATATTCAAAAAATACTCAGCAAATACTTAAAAAATACTCAGTAATACTCTCAACTGAATATTTGTTGAGTATTTACTAAGTATTTGTAAATACGCAGTAAATTCGAATAGCTCTCCTCGTCGGGACTCCGCACGTAATAATTTCTCCCTCTTCTTGGGACTCTAGCTGAACTGACTGAATCAGACCTAAATGTTTCAGTTCTTCTGGTAGAGGTAAGTCCAGTAATTAATTAAACCTCAACTGAACCAATTCGAAGATATAAGCCAGCAGCAAGTCATGCAAAACGTTAGTAAAAAGCAAAAAAACCAAAAAATAAAATAAAAAGTCATGCAAAACGTTATTCACGAGCTTTATCCGATCACCTGTATTAACCTAATATACATTAATTAATGCAAGTTTATTACTCGCCCATTCTTTATAAATTACAAGCTCTCATCTTCCCCCATTCGCCCTTATCCTCTTCACCTCAAGGCATCCTGCCCTACTGCTTGGAAACTCTTCCCTCTACCAATGGCGCTTTGCTGCAACAACTCCCCATTTGACTGCCTTCTTCTCGGTAAGCCTTAGCTCCTTTCTTCTCCATCAAAATCCCAAGAATACGTGGAACTAATTAATCCTCTTCAGATCTCGATGACACTCTCTACCCGTTAAGCCTCGGCATTTCTCAGGCCTGCAAGAAAAACATTGATGGTACGATCAATTAAGCTTCCCCTGTTTCTCTGAAATTCACCATTTATTCAAAAGTTGATGGCTTATTTTCTTTTAAATTCTTCACAGAATTTCTTGCCATGAAGTGCGGATTGCCTATAGAACAAGCGTCATCCCTTCGCGTCGAGCTATTTAAAAAATATGGCAGTTCCCTCGCCGGCCTTATGGTCAGTCATCTCTTTCCCCTGCATTAATTCATCTTCTTCTTTACAAAGAATGAAAAAAAGTTTGGATTTGATGATCGTTGTTCTTCAGGCTCTTGGTTATCAGGTGCACCCAGACGAGTACCACAGGTCCAAATCATCACCTATTAATATTTTAATTGTCGATATCAAAGTTTTTGGTTAAGTAATCTAAATAAACAGCTTTTGTTCTCTCCAAACGCTTTTAGCTTCGTGCACGGCTTGTTACCGTATGAGAAGATCCGACCGGACTCCCAGCTCCGAGAACTCCTACTCAGCATTCCGCAGACCAAAATTGTGATTTTTCTCGCCTTTCGTTCTGCACGTTTCCATCCTCTGTTCGGCAATAAATTTACTAATCATCTCTGCAATAGTACAGATATTTACGAATTCGGATAGGAAACACGCGAGCAGAGTTCTGGAGAGGCTTGGCATCGAGGAGGAATTGTTCCAAAAAATTATCTGCTTCGAGACGCTCAATCCAGAGCTCTTTGATAACAAACCGACGTCGGCCGCTGTCCGGCAGCCGCCTACGGTGGTCCTCAAGCCCTTTATCGCCGCTGTCGAAGCAGCCATTGACATTGCCGGCTTCGAGCCTCACCGGACGGTATATTTCGCCCATCTCCTCGCCGGAAAACAATTAAGAAGCTCTTGGGGTTTTTTACACGAGATCAAGATGGATGAAAAACAATAAATAAAGAAGTATTATTTAGACAAATAGGGTAGAACACGTGGATCACAATACAATTTATAAATTTTAAACTTGTTTTGATTTTTAAGATAAAGGTAATATAAGAGACATTTAATTAATTAATTATTACATTAATTTTTTAAATAAATTAAAATAAGAGCTTTCTTATCTTGATTATCATGTCACCACAATAAAAGTTTTCTTATCACTATTTAATTTAATTTCAAATTTATATATATCAGTTCAAAATTCATTATTCATAGAGATACATCATTAATTATCTCATAATGTTTTATCGCCTAGCCATCAAATTAATTCATTATGAATTATGAAATTTAAATTATCTCATAAATTTACTATTTTTGCCTAAATGGTTTGAGTAGCTCCACGGATTGATAAGATTAGGAGAGTAATTTAAGATTACTTGGTCACATAAAATGTAAGTCTAACTTTCAATGACCCAATTTGAAGAGTAGAGATAGACATATACTTAAAAATACTTGATTTCGAAGGTTAAAAATGACAATTTTTATTAGATTTAATAGGACAATAAGAAAATGATTCATGTAGCTGGTTATATGTAGGAGAGATTTTTACGTGTAGAGTCCGGATCGGAGACCCGTTCAGTTTTTATAAGTGTGTGTAATAAAAACACAGTTACTGTTCACCACAACACTTTTACTGTGCACATTCACCAAAATCGGACGAAACTTTGGTCCGGACTCTACACAATCTCTCTATATGTAGTGGGATAAAAACTTGATGTTGTTGTTCACTTTTGTTGCCTAAAATACTAACTTATTATTAGTGATTCTTAGCGTTGATGTCTAATGAAGTGATATTTAAAATTAATAATTTCATTACAATGACTTTAAAATATATACTATAAACTCATCAATTTTTCGCTTTATAATTACAGCTATTTTTGGACGACAGTGAGAAGAACATAGCTGCAGGAAAAGCAGTAGGCCTTCGCACAGCCCTCGTAAGCTCAACTCTCTCTTAATTTTTTTTCTTTATTATTATTATTTTTTAAAAAAATAAGCGCTCAATTTAATCTGTTAAAATTTTAAATATATTTGAAATGAAGAATTTACTCGTAATATTAGGAGACATGACATAATAAAATTATTATTATTATTTTATTTTATGCTTTCTAATAGAATTAAATTTTTTCTTATAATTGCATTGTCTAATTAGTCCATTATGGCAAATGGCAATTTTATTGTGTGATGTCATTGTACGTTGTTGTTTTTGTCATGTTGTGCTGTATTATGCTTTCAAATAAAGCGAATAAGTATTGTATAAAATTGTTGTCAATTTTGCTATTTATATTGTTATGATTTATGAAAAGGATAATTTGTTCGGCAAACAACTGTAAAGGCAGGAAAACAACATGGATTCATTACTTTCTTAATTAGTTAATTATGAATAATGTCAACTACATTTACTTAAAATAATTGATGAAATGAACAATTAAAATTTAATAATTATGAAAAAATTGAAATTAAAATACTGACATCAATCATTAATAAAAAAATATTTTAATATGATAATAAATTTTTTTAAAAAAAATTTATCTCCCTAACTCTACTTTTTAAAAAAAAAATTATCTCCCTAAGATTTAAATATTGTCCCTAAGATTTCATTTGGAAAATTTTAAAAATTACTTTTTACAATAATTTTTTTAAAAAATAAATTTTAAAAGCAATAATGAAATTGTCATCAAAAGATGTTGAAACTGAAATCTAAGACTTAGTTTGGGATATCTTTTTTACTGTTTTATAAAATATTTTTTTGATATAAAAATTTCAAATTAAAAAAATTGTACTAAAAAATGAATTCATAAAATAATAAGAAACCTATTTTAAACGAAGCCCAAGAGATACAGATTTTATTTAGGATGACTTTTTTTTGCTTCTTAAAGCTACTTTTTAATATAAAAATTTTAATTTTTTAACTAAAAAAACTGATTTAAGAAGCAACAATAAAATCATCCCAATCACCGAAGGGGAGACAAAAAACTTTATACCAAACGCTTTGCACTATGTTTTGAAAGTGCTATATTATTAGTATTATTATCTTCATCCTGAGAACCTAAGATTGATTTCTATATCTTCATAAAGGTGGGGCGAAGCACTAAGACAAAGGAAGCTGACTACGCCATGGAAAGCATAAGCAGTCTGAGGCAAACAATACCTGAGATTTGGGAAGGAGAGCAGGCACAGAAGGGCGTTAGTGGAGAGCTTACACTGCTCAAAGTGAGAAACGAATTGGATGCCATTAGGCCAACCACAGCGCCCATCCAAGCTTAATCAGATCACGACAACTAATACAAGCTGTCGAGAGATTTGTTAATAGCATCTTTATCCTGTAATCCTTATCAGACTCTACGTGGTTGCTCTGCTTTTACGTTTTTGTACAGTAATAAAATGGTTATAATTTTTATTTTAAAAATAATTTATATTTCACTGATTTAAAAATAAATAAATATATATTTTTAAATTTATAATTGGGTTGTGATAACTGCGTGGGCTTATAATGTTGGATAATAGGACAAGGGGGAAGGCTAAATGCCAAATTTGATGGGGCCGAAGGGACGCGGCGTTGGATGAGGTTTTTGCGTTATGACGTGGTGATGTTATCAGCTGAGCCAACTGGACCTTCCAGAGATATGCATGATCTTTTATTTAAATAAGATATTTTATTTACCCAAAAATGATATTTTAATAAATTTTTATGGGTGACTTAAAGCTTCATTTGACACAGCTCATTTTAGGGTTAGTATGGGGAGTGATTATTACGTCCGGACATCGAATGCGTTCAGAGACCAATAAAAAAGTAGAATATCGAGCGTATCGAGCGCGGTATTACTCAGTATGCTCGGTATTCTGTCCGGACGTACTAATTATTCTACTATGGGACGACTTTTTTATTGCTTCTTAAAATGAATTTTTTGGTGGCTTCTTTATTTTATTTGTTTATTTATTTATTTAATTTTATATTTTTAGAAACTTTAGTGCCTTAAATATCCTAAATGTTCTTTTAAAAAAGCTTCATTTGGGACATTTTTTTGCCATTATTTTTTTAGTCATTTATGCTGCATTTCACTCTTTTCAAGGAATTTAAGTGCTAGAAATTTGCTTTAAAAACAGTGAGAGAATTATCTCAAATGAAGTCTTAGACTTTATTTGGGACAGCTTTTGGTCAAAACATAAAAAAAAAAAAAATTGCAATTATAGAAAGCACGAAGAAAGCTATAACAAATGAACCTAAGTCAAATATGCATACCACCTTGATTTGCTAGGTTAGATGCTTAATTAGTCTATCAATTAAGAGGTCTATTATTTTATGCTTGAATATGTGATGCTTGTATGATAATATATCACATATGCAAACAATTAATTTATATGATGACGTAATTATGGAATAAATATTTTGAATATCTAAGAGATGTGGCACTTTGAGTAATATTTTACGAAAAATATAACTTTTTTGAAAATATTTAGGGTACTTAAATAGCTAAACCTTTCCCCTCATATTTTTCTTGAAGCAACCTATATTTTAATTAAGACCTCTCAATTGATATTATCCTAAGATTTCTAAATCCCAGCTTAATACAACTAAGGAATATTTTTATGAACAAATACCCCATTAAGCAATGGTTTAGCTCCTAAAGGGTTTGATTTGAAATATCATTAAAAAAAATCATATGATCAAGTATCAATATTGAATTTATATTTGAATTAGAATTTTTCACAATTATATCCAAAACTATCCAAAATTCAATATGAACAAGACGGATCCAATTATACAAAAATTGATGAGCCAAAATGAATTTGAATAATCAAACACTTAAAATACATATGAAAACTTTAAATCATTAATTGAAAAATCAAATGGTCGTCTAATCTTGCATGTTTATAGTTAAATTGAAAGGCTTGACGAGATGAATACAGCATGCCCAAGATTATTTGATTCCAAAGTCTTTAAGGCACTTAAATGATGAATAAATAATCTATGATAAAAAAATTCAATACAAACAGTCTGATAGAGTGTTATAGAATTTTGCTAATATTTATCAAAATATTACTCTTAAAATACTATAAAAAGATCCACATTCTTCACATGAAAAACGGTTTTATAATTGATCCATTGAGGATGGAGAGAACTTGGAGATTTGAAGAACTTTACAGCTCTACTCGATATTTAATGCCAACAATTATCGTTAGACATCACTGTCATACAGCTACATTTTTGTAATCACCAGCACGTGACCATTATTTTTTATCTATCATCGTTCGAATACTACAGTCCATTCTATGTCATCCAGGCATTGTTATCCGATTATTGTAACCTAACTGTCATCCCCAAATTATCATTGTCCGATCATTGTTGCCTGCCTGATATTATCTGGCTATCATCATCATTCATCTAGTATTTCTCTATAACATTTTTTTAAAGCTACATGAGAATGATAATGGTCAGAAAGGTGGCTAAAGGATTATAGTATGATGAGGTTAATAAAAAAACTAATGTCAGCTAGTGGTGCTCACATAACCAAAGTCACATGATTGTGGTTTGACAATGTTGGTCTAACGGTGATTGAATGATAGTGGTTGAATGGTGGTCTAATTATGAAAATCGATCGCTAATTCGATGGTGACAATCGATTGGTGTTCTGATAAGGGTGGTTGGGCGATGGTCAAACTATAATGGTGCAATAGTTGCCCATCCATGTTGCTTAGGTGTAGCTCTATGATTTTTACAGCTTTTGAGTTCTCTTTAATCTCAAGTTATGGCTGAAGCTTTTGGCCTACCTTCATTTAAATAATTAAAATTTATTTATATATTTATAAAAGTGTAATGTCCTATAAATTTAAACAAAATCTAGGATGCTCTATTGATCGTCTCGTTTTAATTCCTTATATTAGAGACTACTTTCAGCATTTAAGTGATTTAATGATATAAAATTAAATAATCTTAAGCTCATTGGCTTGATCTCGACAATATGATCGATTTGAGTATAAACATATAAGATTTGAATATTATTTGTTCATTCAATTAATATTTATGAAGTTTTAATTATACTTCAAATGTTAACTTCAAGCTTATTTTGATTCAAATCAAATCATATTGTGTCTTGAGTTCATCTTGTTGAGAAGTTCAAATCAACTATATGACTCATGAAGTTAGAGTTCAGATATTCTTGAAATTTTAATTTAAATATGCATGGAGATTTTTATGCTTGAAAATAGGTGCTTTAAAATATGAATTATATATTAATCATGTTTTTTTTATTACGTATTAATTATGTTTTTCAAATTATGCTCGAAAAGAAGTGCTTTAACGGTTTAGAAGAATTGTGAGTTAGGTCTTACACTGTTAATAAAGTATTTTTATTCAAGTTCTTCAACAAGCAGACCTTTAGCATCTAATAATTTCTTAGGCATGTAAATAGAAATTAATGGGTAGTATTGAAATATCATCAAATAATTTTGTCGATTAGGCACGAATCTCGAGAGAAACACAAGTTGGAAACTTCAAAAATTAAAGTTGGGACCATCTGAACTCTGATTTCACTAAACTTATTGTCGAATTGAATGTATTGGAAATAAGAACCCAACGACACTAAATTAGACTAGATCGGAGCCCAAATGAGTCCAAATCAAAGACCCAAAGCGCATTTGGAAGGTTAAATCCATAATTTGGATTACCAAACTGTTTCCAAACGTGACATGCTTATAGTCAAATCGAGCGGCTCGACGAGACGAATCGAACGTGCCCAAGATTGTGAAATTTTGGTATCATTAAACCATTCAAATGTCCAGTATACTTGACGCAAAACTTCTACTCATCGATAGACTTCTGCTCGTTGTCAGACTCCTGCCCATCGCCGGACTTCTGCCTGTCACCAGACATTCGTCAGACTTCTACCCAATGCCAAACTTCCTCCCATCGCCGGACTTTCGTCGGACTTCTACATAACGTCAAACTTTTGCCCATCGCCGGACTTCTACCCATCGTCGGATTTCTACTCGACGCTGAACTTTTGCCAGTTGGCCGGACTTTCGTCAGACTTTTACTCGACGCCAAAATTTTACCCTTCGTCGAATTTCTACCCGACACCGAACTTCTGCCCGTCGCTGGACTTTTGTCGGACTTCTACCCGATGCCGAACTTCCGCCCATCGTTGACCTTTCGACCTCCGTCGCCAGCCGACTATAGTCATTCCGTTCTCGTTCACCAAACAACAGTCTTTTTGATTATTGTCGCCTGACGACTACGGTCCTTTCGGCCTCCTTCACCAAACAACGGTCTTTCCGACCTTCATTGCCAGCCGACTACGGTCACTCCGACCTCCGTCGCCAAACAACAATCTTTATGACCTCCGTCGCCAACCGACTATGGTCCTTCAGACCAAACGAACCCGTCAACAATGATTCTTTATGTTTCCACCATGTAACATACTTTCTATGATGTATACTCGTTATATCAAGCCAAAGTCTTCCCCTAATGAAGGGCATCATTTGTAATCAACTGCAAATATTAGTGGATTCATTCAAAGTGGATTAGGCCCCGTGGTTTTTTCCCTTTTCAAGATTTTTCATATAAAAATCTTGATGTCTCTTATAAATGTTGCACACTCTCTCTTATCTGATTGCGTGCTGGATCTTCGGGCAAAGCTAAGACATTAAACTTTATATTTCTTTGTTGACGTGAATATTCTATGACGAAACAAGTATTATATTATTTTAAAACTGTTTAAGCAAAATTTGTTATAATCCAAATCATTTTAAAATGATCGATTAAATCAATAGGTTGCATAGGCAGTCATATTTGCTAAACAATTTATATTTCGGATCACATCTAAATCCAATAATTCATTTTTTTTTTTTTTGGAAAATGAGGGCAAAGAGCCCATATATTACCATGTAAAAAAGGTTACAAGTAAGGTATAACAAAAAAGGTTAAACCTCTAACAATTGAGGTTCAACCAAAAACCTATACCCCCAGTGAGAATAAAGACAAATAAAACAAAAGAAAACAGGAACTACCATCCACAAAAGATGCAAAAGCATATGAAGGACTTAGACTGCTAATCGCATTAACGAGCTGAGAGAATAACCAGCATCCATGAAAGATAATCTCCTGGTTGCCCAAAAGAAGGCCGTCCAAGGAGAAGATTAGCAGCTACATCATCGTCCCTTGAACAGAATTCCAACAAAATCGACAGTACCCGGTTGAAAAAAAAAACAGTCATCCAGAGGACTGTATCATAATCCGAAACAGGAAAACAAAGAGGAAGTTCCCACCGGCCAGGAAGCAGACCATGAAAGTAACCCATCCGAAGACAGGATCCCCAAAGCACCAGCATCTCCATCTCATAGCCAAACAACATCAAAGCAGCAATTTCGTTACACATGCCATGGGATAATCAGATTTTCAGAATGTTTCCAGGAAGAAATCTTGGCCTCAACAACAGACTTAATGACTAAGCATAGAGAAGAAGTGCTTCTAAATTTAAAATTGAATATTCTTTCGTTTCTTTCCCTCCAAAGATAGTATGTAGCATAACAGGCCGTGAGGAGGAGCAATTCTTTTTGTTTTTAACCCAAATGTGTCTGATCTCCCAAAAAATTAATAACTTGTTGTAACCTTGGTCTTAGAAGAAAGTCTCCCACCATGGGAATGAGGTTATGTAAGACAGTGAAGACATAATCACATTCGAACAGTAAATGAAAATTGGTCTCAGGGTGAGAAAAACAAAAAGAGCAGGTAGAAGGCACTACTATGGATCTTTTAAGAAGCTCATGTCATGACCCGACCCGATCCGGGACGGATCCCGCTCGTACCGGGCCGCGACAAAACCTTTTATCCAGGATCTGGCTTTGGAGTTTGGTTCTGAACTGAATCTTTCAAATATTTAACTCAAAACAACACACAAACACAGAACAACAGAGCTACTATAAGTCACCAAATGCAGCGGAACAAAACATCTATATTTTTCTTTCTTTTCCTCAAAACAATCATCTACAAATACAGTACATGGCTTTTGAACAGAAAGAAAGACGGAACAGAAAAGCCATGAATCAACTATATGCCTGTTGAAGTTAGAGTTCAGATATTCTTGAAATTTTAATTTAAATTTGCATGGAGATTTTTATGCTTGAAAATAGGTGCTTTAAAATATGAATTATATATTAATCATCTTTTTTTATTAAGTATTAATTATGTTTTTCAAATTATGCTAAAAAATAAGTGCTTTAACGGTTTAGAAGGATTGTGAGTTAGGTCTTACACTGTTAATAAAGTAACTTTATTCAAGTTCTTCAACAAGCGGCCTTTAGCATCTAATAATTTCTTAGGCATGTAAATAGAACTTAATGGGTAGTATTGAAATATCATCAAATAATTATGTGGATTAGGCACGAATCTTGAGAGAAAATCAAGTTGGAAACTTCAAAAATTAAATTCGGGATCATCTGAACTCTGATTTCACTAAACTTATTGTCGAATTGAATGTATTGGAAATAAGAACCCAACGAAACTAAATTCGACTCGATCGGAGCCCAAATGAGTCCAAATCAAAGACCCGAAGCGCATTTGGAAGGTTCAATCCATAATTTGGATTACCAACAATTTCCAAACGTGACATGCTTATAGTCGAACTGAGCGGCTCGACGAGACAAATCCAACGAGGCCAAGATCGTGAAATTTTGGTATAATTAAACCATTCAAATGTCTAGTAAAACAATTCATGATCAAGGGATTCAACATCGGCCGTCCATTCAAATAACTCCCAATTTACCCTAGTTCTTCCTCTTATTTACGTGTCATGTCACTCTCAAAAAATGATAAATATACCCTCATTTCTCATAGAGGGGAACCTACAAGGAGGGTGGGGCGACGTCAGAGTTCTGCCCGAACACCAACTTAACTCACGTCGGAGTTTTGCCCTGCCGCTGGCTAACGTCGGACTTCTACCCGACGCCAAACTTTTGCGCCTCATCGGCTTCTGCGCATCGCCGAATTTTTGTCGGTTTTCTACCTGAGACCAAATTTCCGCCCGTCGCCGAACTTCTGTCTATCACCGAATTTTCGTCGGACTTCTACCCGACGCAAAACTTCTGTTCGTCGCTAGACTTCTGCTCATTGTCAGACTTCTGCCCGTCGCTAGACTTCTACCAAATGCCAAACTTCCTCCCATCGCCGGACTTTCATCGGACTTCTACAAAACGTCAAACTTTTGCCCATCGCCGGACTTCCACCCATCGTCGGATTTATATTCGACGCCGAACTTTTGCCGGTTGGCCGGACTTTTGTCGGACTTCTACTCGACGCCAAAATTTCACCCTTCGTCGAATTTCTACCCGACACCGAACTTTTGCCCGTCGCCGGACTTTCGTCGGACTTCTACCCGATGCCGAACTTCCGCCCATCGTTGACCTTTCGACCTCCGTCGCCAACCTACTATAATCATTCCGATCTCCTTCACCAGACAACAGTCTTTTTGATTATTGTCGCCTGACGAATACGGTCCTTCCAGCCTCCTTCACCAAACAACGGTCTTTCCGACCTTCATCGCCCACCGACTACGGTCACTCTGACCTCCGTCGCCAAACAACAATCTTTCTGGCCGTTGCCTACCGACTACGGTCACTCTGACCTCCGTCACCAAACGAACACGTCAATAGTGATTCTTTATGTTTCTACCATGTAACATACTCTCTATGATGTATACTCGTTATATCAGGCCAATGTCTTCCCCTAATGAAGGGCATCATTTGTAATCAACTGCAAATACTAGTGGATTCATTCAAATTGGGTTAGGCCTTGTTGTTCTTTCACTTTCCAAGATTTTTCATGTAAAAATCTTGATGTCTCTTATAAATGTTGCACTCTCTCTCTTATCTGATTGCGTGCTGGATCTTCGTGCAAAGCTAAGACATTAATATTTATATTTCTTTGTTGCCGCAAATATTCTAAGACGAAACAAGTATTATATTATTTTAAAATTGTTTAAGCAAAATTTTTCATAATCCAAATCATTTTAAAATAATCGATTAAATTAATAGGTTGCATGGCAATCAGATTTGCTAAGCAATTTATATTTCGGATCACATCTAAATCCAATAATTCAATTTGAAACCCTCTCCTTTTGTAAGAACAAATTGTACTGGGCCAGTATTTGCTCTGGGCCATATCTAGACCAGCCAGTTTTCTGGGCCAACACGTTCTGCACCAAAAAAGTCCGCCGAGCTTGGCTGTTCAGAAACAGGAACCATAGTAGAAAGTCTGACGATGAGGAGAAAGAAGAGGTTGGTTCGTGTTTCATGCCGTCTGCTGCTCTAAGTTATTGATCTTCATCGGTACCGAGCGGCTTATACCCAGCGCTTCCTGGTTCGCGCAGCTGAGCAAGGCACACAATCATCTCACCATGGATCTGTTGATGCGTGAACTCCATAAGAAGCGGCAGAGTCTCCAGTCCGACTTCGGCGGAAAAAAGCTTCTTCGCCGCTCCGAGATCGAGGAGAAGAAAATCCAACGGATCCGTGAGGATGAGCAGCGCGAAGTCCAGGCCAAGGCCGTTCGCCAACATTCCACTTCCTCCTCTCTCTCTGCTGCATCCGCGCCTTCCTCGTCCTCCGACCAAAACCCTAGCGCCAAATCATCCCTCCCCCCCGCTCTCGCCTCATTAGCCGCCGCCTCATCCTCTAAGAAGCAACCGGACTCGCTCTCCGAGGAGCAGCGCATCGACGACCTTGTCCTCCCCCGGCAGGAGGTTATCCGCCATCTGCGCATACTGAAGCAGCCCATCACCCTTTTTGGCGAGGACGATGATGCCCGTCTCGAGCGTCTTAAGATGATACTCAAGTCGGGAATCCTCGATATCGATAGCGACATAACCGAGGGCCAGACTAACGATTTTCTCCGAGACATCTACGAGATGCGCAAGCGACAGAAGGCTGGATCATTCCTTCGAGAAACTAAGCATAAGAGGGACGATTCTGATGGTTTGGATGGCGCCGGTGGAGAGGATGGGGATAAGAGTCTCGGAGGCGATAGGGCCTCGTCCGGACCGGATGCAGATAAGGATTTGAAGAGTATGAAGACTAATTTTGAGGAGCTTTGTGACGAGGACAAGATTCTTGTGTTCTTCAAACGACTTCTCAATGAGTGGAACCAGGAGCTTGACGAGATGCCTGAAGCAGAGAAGAGAACGGCGAAGGGGAAGTCTATGGTTGCTACCTTCAACCAGTGTGCTCGTTATTTGAATCCGCTGTTTAAGTTCTGCAGGAAGAAGGTAGGGATTCCTTTTTCCTATTGCAACTATTGGTTTGTCACTATCTCGAAGCTAGCTGAAATGCTGCTTATGGGGGTTATATTTTGTTGTTTAATATTTTTGCAATATAGTGAGGGCAACTAATCGCAAATAATCCTCCTTGTTCATCATAAATCATCTAGATTAATTAGGGCAATGCCAATGTGAGCAAGGGAATTCTTTTGGGTTTATGCTTTCGTTTTGGCTACCTTATTTATTTTTTTGCTTTTGATGTAAAAAAAATATCTACTCAATCACAGTTTCTTCTAAGATTCAAGTTAAAAAAAATGTTTTTTTTTAAGGAAACGGAGCAATTGTTTAGCTTCCATGCCCGCAATGCTGAACTGCGTATGCAGTTTTATGAACTTGTTACACATTAGGTCTTCATTTCTAGGAGAAGCTAATAAACTTATGTTACTCAAATTTTAGTTACTCATTGTCTGCTTGGTTGGTTTGGTCACATAAAATGGCGGCCTTCCGATGACACGGCTAGAAAAGTATATGTATTAGATTTGACTTATGTTAAGAAAGGTAAAGGTAGAGCTAAAAAGACTTGGTTAAAAAATATTAGCAATGAATTTTCTTTTTTAGATTTAAATGAGAATTTGGCTCTAAACATGACATAATGGAGAAAAAATGATTCATGTAGCTGACCCCATGTAGTGGGATAAAAACTTGATGTTGTTGTATTGCTTGCTTACTGCTTAGTTAAGCAAGTGCATGATGCATTTCTTAGGATTGCTAAACAAGGATGCACAAATTGATTTGGATTGAGATATTGATTTTGCTATGCAAAATATTACAATAGTCCCTCCCTAACTAACAAGTGATCAATAATCATATTGTATATTTCTTAAGTTGATTATCTTGAGCGTTTTACTCCCATTAGTGTATAGTTAATACAAATCAATTAATACTTGTGAATTATGGCTAGAAGTCGGAATAATTAATTAGTATAAATAGAATATTTATATTTTATGATTATAATAATTTTCTATAAGTTCTAATAGAAGTGGTGTGGAAAATTCTACCTAAGAAAGGAGTTGATAATGCTTATGATGGACCAGTTGATTTGATTGTGATGGAATTAAGAAGTTTCCTAATCAAGAGGGAGATATTTAGGAAGGTTCTTAATCAAAGGGAATTAATTAGGAGATATTTTCTAATTGAATATTTGGGGGCTGATTGGGAGGGGATTAATTAGGAAATATGTCCTAATTAAATATGGTTGATTTGAGGGCTGATTTGGAGGGAATTAATTAGGAAATAATTCCTAATTGAATAGGGCTGATTTGGAGAGAATTAATTAGGAAATATTTCATAATTAATTAGGGTTGATTTAGGGGCTGATTTGGGAAGGAAATAATCAAGGAAATAGGAGGGAATTGGGGGAGGGCTGTTTGGGTATTTACTGTTTATTGTTTGCTTTAAATAGGTGGTTTTTCTAGGGTTAGGGCATCTTGAATTTGGCGGAAATTGGAGATCTCTTAGGTTATCTTTGGGCTCTAGCAACATCTAGAGATTTGAGAGAGATCAATCCTCCTCTGAATAGAGGATCAATTGTATCTTGCTATTTTTTGTTTCCTTTTCATCATATAATACAAATTATCTGTTATTTTTGTGGTTTTGTGTGGATTTTTGTGGAGAATTCTCGCTGTTTTTCGAAGATTGATAGGAAATACTTGAGATCTACAAGTGTTTCCTATCAGCTTATATTCAATTCATTAAGGATATGTATGCAAGAGCTGTTACTTGTGTTCAAACAGAAGGTGATTTGACCTAGTGTTTTCCTATTTCAGTTGGATTACATTAGGGATCAGCCTTAAGTGCATATCTTTTTACGTTAGCCATAGATGTTCTCACTAGACATTTGCAAGAGGTTGTATCCTAGTGTATGATTTTTGGTGATGATATTCTTCTTGTTGATAAAACTAGAGAGCGAGTTGAAGGTAAACTTGAATCATGGAGGTCAACCTTAGAGTCTAAAGGCTTTCGTTTGAGTAGATCTAAAACTGAACATATGGAGTAAAACTGAATATATGGAGTGTAATTTTAGTAATAATAGATTTAGTTGGGGGATTGTGACTTTAAGCGATCAAGTCATTTATAAGAGCATACATTTTAGATATCTTGGATCAATTGTTCATAGTGATGTTGAAATAGATGGGGATATTATTAGTAGAATTCAGGTGGATGGTTGAAGCAGAGGAATGCATCGAGCTTGTTATGCAATAGAAAATTCCCTCTCAAACTTAAGAGAAAATTCTATATGATGTTAGTGAGACCTGCAATGCTTTATGGTGCAGAATGTTGGCTATTAAAAGAGAAGCATAATATTAAGTTAAGTGTTGCAGAGATGAGGATGCTCAGGTGGATGAGTGACTTCACTCTTAAAGACAGGATACGAAATGAGCGTATACGTGAAAAGATTGAAGTAGAGAGAGTCGTGTTAGATGATTTGGTCATATAAAATGATGGCATTCCGATGACCCGGTTAGGAAAGTAGATGTATTAGATTTGACTTATGCTAAGAAAGACAGAGGTAGACCTAAAAAAACTTGGTTAGAAAATATTAGAAATGATTTTATTTATTAGATTTAGATGTCAATTTGACTCTTAACAGGAAATAATGGAGAAAAAGGATTCATGAAGCCGACCCCACATAGTGGGATATAGGCTTGTTGTTGCTGTTGTTGTATTATAATAATTTTCTATCTTTATAGAACAAATCTGATTGTGCAATTCTGTTAATCACTATGTTGAATGTTACCTTTTCTTTTCTATATATACCAAGTAGAACCCTCTAAAGGAGGGCAAGCAATTCACGGACAACTCTCTTTGTCACCCAATTTTGATTCTCTTAAGTGTTTTACTCTCATGGGAACATTGTGTGTTGCTTACTAAGTTAGGCAATTTATTCTTCATGTCTCTTCTATCTTATACTTTTATGGCCTTCCGTTTCCTTTTTTACTCTCAGCAACTTGTAACCCCTAATGCTATTAAGTATCATCCTAGGAAATTCATGCTACTTAATACTTAGAAATTTAATGATCTTATTTTAATTTCTAGTATTCAACTTAATCATTGGTTTTTTTAAAGCCTATTTATCCTCTTCTCAATTCAGTTTTGGGAGTTTGTTGCATCGTTTCAATGAATCAATGGTTCCTTTTTTGAGGAACTTCTGAAGTGGGTAGTAATTTGTATTTGTTTAATCCTCATAGTTTGTTTTTCTCTTATTGGCTATTTTCTCCTACTTATTTTTAAGAGACTCGGTGTTTCTATTTTTCTTTGTTGAGCAAGGGTGTACATAATTTTTAGGAAGGATTGGTGGGTATCATTTATTGCATGTTGTGGTTGTGTTTTCTTTGTTGGGTTGGATTCTTTTTACTCTCTCGTGAGTGTAGGCTTACTTAAACTGAAGCGTTTTCTCTTTTATTGGCACTTGATCTCTTTTGTAGATACTTTGTGTTTTGTAGTATTTGCTCCTAAGTTAGTTCCTTCCATAGCAACCATAAAGTTAGGTTTTTTCTTTTCCTAACACAAATGCCATTTTTAAATTCATTAATAAACATTCCTAACTACAACCCTTTCCCTATAATATATAATAAAATTTAGCTTACGAAATGATTGAAATAATATCAGAAATTCAACTTGGATTTATAAACGTAGAAATCAATTTGCAATTATAATTTAATTTTTAGGAATTAAGTTCTTGATGTGCCAAATTTGAACAAAATTGAGAGTATCAGTCAAAAGTAAATTATATAGATAAATAAAAAATGAATGAAAATAAAATAAGAAAAAAACAAGTCTCGCACTGATTAAAAAAAAAAGAACACTCCTTTGAAATACTGTAATCAAATTTATCACATATTTAACTTGTATTTTATAATATTGAAAATTGGAAAAATGAAACTTTATTCAAGCCAAAGTTGTTTCGTTATATTATTCAGAATATTATGACATTTATGCCATCCTTGTTGATTATTCTAAGGCTTATAATCCATTTAAAATGCATGTAGAATTAAGCTAAGACTTGTATTGAGTTATTGTTTTGAATTTTTGCAAGTACTTTAGGACTTGAACCTCTATTCTTTAGAGAGGTCTAATAGCCGTGGATTTCAAACCTCTGGTTTAATGGGATTTGGTCATTGATCTAGTTATGAATTTGGAATGGCTTATAAGAATGAATTTTTTAGACCGTCACTAGTAATATGATCCGATGGTGGATACTTACTAATATCATACCCAACTTCACTTATCTCTCTGATAAATCGGGTTGAAAATATATGCATATGAATTGATGCTTAGGAAGTGTTGTAGGCTTTATAGATGTCAATGCATTTTTCATAGACTTCAATATACTAACATGACTGTAGGTTTTTTTTTAATGATATTTGTGAGCATTTGGGATATTTGATGAATGTCTTAAATCTTAATATATTGGTACACTTTTCAAAGCAATTTTAAATGTTAAACAACTGTATGTATTAATGATATGCTCGTCTTAGTCAATCTAGGATGGATGATAATTTTATTTTTTTAATATAAAAGTTTATGATTCATGTACTATAAGTTGGATGTTTGACATATTGGGAGATTGGTTTCAATGAGATTATATTAATTTATTTCTCTTGTTATTTAAACTATGCATTTTATTTAGCTTTGGATAACATTTTTTGCTAATTCAAATGACAAATTAGTTTTTTCCATGTGGTGGTGTTAAGTGAGCATTTATGACATCCAACATATGTGTTGACATGCGTTTCATTGGTTAAATTCATCTTCTTTATCATTCCTAGTTTAGATGCAACTATGCAAGTCTAACTTCACATGCTTTATTTAGATCATTAGAGTTTTTTATGTTGAGTTGTTTTGTGGTTCAAAGACTTGTTGGAGGATCATCTTTATCCCCTTCTCATTAAGGGTACTTAGAACGCATCATCAAAGTTTAGTCCCTCTTGTGGTAATTGAACTTCCTAACATTCCGATGACAGTAAAGCCACTCAATGACTGCGTCAACCTCCTCAAAATTGTAGCTTGAAGGCTATCATTGAATTTCAGCCAAACACATTTGTTTGTGAGAAATAAATCTTTTATTCAGAATATATCAATGGATGGAGTAGAAATCTGATACTGGACAAAAGATTGACAATGGAGGGGTGATGTTCAAATTGTTCATGCCAAAGATCAACGATGTTAGGGTTATCAATTTAGTCGAATCAAAGATAACCGATTCTTTGACGATT